AAAAGAAGAGTGGCGGAGAGCCGCATTGACTGCGGAGCATAACAAAGCATTTGCCTTGAGTAGGTTGTGACACATGTGGTCCGTGCTAAGATGTTCAGGCCTTTTACTCGGCCGTAAGCACTACCTTCACTGTCTCCACGCTTTGTGCGGCTTTATCTACTTCAACTCCCCCCCTCAACAGCATATGTACCCTGTTCATTATGCTGTTGCTTCAAGGTGTGACCTCCGTTCTTCAACACTGTCGCATAGCTCGGGGACCCCGTTCCGTACACTGCTGCCGGTATTTGCAGGTGTAGCCCAGATCTTGCTTGCTGCATTGCCTGCCTCCCAATGGGCTTCGTGAGTACGTCTGCCAAGTTTCTTGTGGTGTCTACGTACTTGATCTGCACCCTTCCCTCTTGTACGTTGTTACGGACGAAGTGATACTTGGTGTCGATGTGCTTAAGCTTCCAGTGCTGTGCTGGGTCCTTACTAACCTGTATGCAACCAGTGTTGTCCGAGTAGACCGTCGGTGTGCCTGTGGCAATGCCAATTGAGCGTAGCAGTTGCTTGAGGAAGAGCACCTCACGTGTTGCTTCCGTGGCTGCAATGAACTCTGCCTCGACAGCGGACAATGACACGCATTTTTGTGTCGCTGACTTCCAGGCTACTGGGTTCCCGTACACTAATGCCACTGACCCCGATGTGCTTCTTCTCTGTATGGTGGCATCGCTTGCCCAGTTTGCATCGCTGTGTGCAACCAGTGGCTCTTGCGACTCACTCGCCCTATAAACCAATCCAACCTGCCTTGTGCTTTCGAGGTAGCGTAAGACTCTTTGTGCTGCCTGATAATGCTCCTGCGATGGTTCACGCATGTGCCTAGCGAGAACACCCACGGTGAGACTAAGGTCGGGCCGGGTGCTGTTGGCAACCCAGAGCAGCTTGCCAACAATCACCGGATACTCCTTCTGTTGTGCTGCGCTTGCGACAAGGGTTCCCTCCGGTATGCTCTGCATTGGAACCATGGTTGGCTTCGTACGTTTGTCCAGGTGCTTCGCCAGCACTTGGTCGATGTACCCTGACTGACCAATCGTCATGGTGCGCATCGCACGGTCTCGACTGATTTTGATGCCCAAGAAGTGAGAGACCTCACCACTATCTTCCATCTTCCATCTCTGACTAATCTGCTTCTTAACCTCTAGGACCGTTTCCAGCCGTGGTGCTATGACTAATGTGTCATCGACGTAGATGACCACAATGGCCATATCTTCACCCTGTCCCTTGGTGTAGATACAGGGAGCGCACTCTACCTGGAAGAATCCCATGCGTCGCAAAGACCTGTCGAACTCCTGATTCCATTCTCGCCCAGACTGCTTTAGGCCATATAGGCCCTTGACTACCTTGTACACCTTGCCAGGTGCTACTCCTGATCCTTCTGGCGGCTTCATGTAGATTGCTTCCTTTAACGTGGAGTTCAAGTAAGCCATAGTGATGTCCAGAGCATGTACCTCCCAGTTGTTCTGCACCGCTAGTGCTAAGATGGCTCTGATCGCTCCGAGGGGTGCTACTGGAGAGAAGGTTTCTTGGTAGTCGATCCCCTCTCTCTGTGTGAAGCCCCTTGCAACCAGTCGCGCTTTGTGCTTAACAGGTACACCGTCAGCATCAAGCTTCAGCCGAAGCACAACCTTAGAGTCCACAAGTGGTACTCCTGGTGGTTGGTGCACCACCTCCCAAGTCCCCATTGCCTCAAGTCCTTCTAGCTCCTTTCGTATTGCCTCCTTCCAGAGCTGGGCGTCCTCACCATTCATTGCTTCCCCAAGCGTTGGGTCCAGGTTCAGTATTGCTGTGTTGGCGGCACCCACTGTGCTGTCTACGGCTGGTAGGAGATCCTCCACTGCAGTCTCTGATCTGGTCTCCTCCTCTACTATGGCTGGCGTGACACCCTCCTCCTCGACCTCCACGGTCACCATGGGCCTGACTGCCTCTTGTTGGCGATCACTCCATCCTTTGTCCTCATGGAACGTTGCTGAGTTGCTCCATTGAATTGACGCGGGCTGGTCCGGGTTGCAAAACTTCCATGCTTTGTGTTCGTCGTCATACCCAATCATGATGGCTGGCTTTGCTCTAGCTCCGTGCTTGCCTTGCTGGTCCTTCTGTTGAACATGAACCCATGCCAAGCATCCGAAGACTCGCAGTTGCTGGGCCAGCTTGTGCGCAGTGGTTCCATAGAAGGCCTCGTGGGGAATGGTTTTGGTGGCTGACGGGGTAAGGTTCATCACGTGTGCTGCTGCTGTGATTGCGTACGGCCACAACTCTCTAGGGCAAGCTCGACCAATCAGCATCGAGCGCATCTTTTCTTGGACCGATCTGATTGCTCTCTCTGCCCGTCCATTTTGGACGCTGATCCCCGGGACGCTCTTTTGCCACTTAAAACCCTCTTGAGTTTGCCAGTCTTCGGCTGCTATGCTGCACCATTCTCCTCCATTGTCGCTGCGGAGTGTTTTGAGTTTCCTGTCCGTTGCCCGTTCCATCCTGGCTATCCACCTTCTCAGCGCCGTGAGTGCAGCACTCTTTGTGCAGAGTGGTTCCACGTAGATCAGAGAGGAGAAGTCGTCCACAGCAACTAGTGCATAGTGGTAGTTGGCATGTCCTTTGAAATCTGTCATCAGGTCTACGTGTACCAGCTCTAATGGTGCCTCCATTCTTTCCGACTCTGATTGGCTCATCCGTGCTCGAGTCTGTTTTCCTTGACTGCACGCATTGCAGTGCTTCGACTCATGTTCCATTTCCTCATCGGTACCTAGGTAATGGGCCCGGATTTGTCTCGTTTTGTCTCGTCCTGGGTGTCCGAACCTCTCATGCCATAGGTAGCTGTCTCGATGCTTCGTGTCCTTATTGCCCTCTGGGGCATTATCTAGTTTTCCTGTGTTCTGGTTGTCCTCTGGGACGCCATCTTGTGTTTCCTCCAGTTCCAAAGCCAGTGCTTGTCCTCGCACTTTGAAGTGGCCCTGTCTTCTGTCCCTTTTGAATTGTACTTGGGTACCATCGTTCTGCTTTATGGTAGTTCCAAACTCATCAAAGATTACTCGTGCACCATTCTCGATCAAGCCTTGTACGGACAATAAGTTAGCATTCAGTTTCGGTACATAAAGCACATCCAATAGTTGGATGGTGGCCTCACCGACCCGAAGGGAGGCATCTCCTATAGCCTTCACCTGAAGCTTTTCGTCCCCTGCCGTACTGATTTGGCCGACCTTGTTCGTTGAGGTGAGCAGCATTCTCTCATCATTTACCATATGATGGGTTGCACCTGAATCGATGATCCAGGTGTCGCATGCTGATCGCTCGCCCCTGTCGACTGCTAGAAAGGTGCACCCGAGTTCCTAGTGGTTCACCTCCTGTGTCGTACGAGCGACAGGTTCGCTTGTGCCTCGTGCGTTTGTGCAATTTCGAGCAATGTGATTTGGTCCTCCGCAAGCATAGCACTTTGGAGGGGCCAAGGGATTGCGAGGATCGCGCCTTCCCCTGGGTCCTTGCTCCGCCTGGTTGGCACTCCCCTGTTCCGCGTTTGTGGCGACCCTTGCTGCTCCTCTAATACGACCAGTGATCTCACCATCCTGCTGTTTCTTGGCCAGTGCATGGTAGGCTTCGTCATACTTGCAGTCTGGTTTGGCCGTTTTCAGTGCATCGACGGTGTTGGCGTAGAACCAATCTTGAGCCGTGCAGCGATAGAGAGTTGATTTCTTGAGGTCCTCGTCGAAACGCTTTCCGAGGCGTGCCGCATCGTTCCAGATCGAATCAAGTTCCTTGCCTAGTCTGACAACGTCTCGATTGTGCAAGCGCACTGTGTGGATACGATCCTGCAGTCCTGCTCGCTTTACAGCGTCGTTTAGTGTTAGTGCCTTCTTGAGTTTGGCATAGAGTGTGCTACCAAGTTGAACTTCTTCATCCACCCCTCTGACGGTGTAGGTGTCGATGCGGCTATCCGGGCTGTTATCGCAGCAGGCGTGGATGAGGCCCACGAGTGCCTTGTCTAGGTCTTCATCGTATTCCTCGCTCCCGGGTACAACGGTACCATACAGGATTTCCTTCGCGTTATGCACTCTCTGGAGGCAGTCGATAAAGGTGGGTTCCCAGGTGTGCCAATTGCTATCGCTGAGCTTCTTGATGTGAGCAATGGAGCTCGATACGTCCTTGGGGATCTTTTCGGTCTCCCCGCGTGGAGCTTGGTTGCTAATGTTGACCAGACCCATGGCCCGTACTATTGCTTCCTCTGCCGATAGTGCCGGGTTCGCCAGCTGGAGGATCCTGACTACCTGCGTGAGCCATCCTTCCTCCTGTCCATTGCTTGTGGTCGTTTGATCATCATCGCCCCTTCCCGTCTGTCCAGCTCTTGTCGATGGCGGCATTGCGTTGAGTGTCAGACTCTTAATCAGTTAAAGTCATTCGTCAGCGTCTTGGAGTCATTCGTCAGTGGTTGGGGTTGAGGTGTCTTTGTTGATGATGATGGTAGGAGAGAGAGAAAGAGCGAGAGAGCTAGGAGTCTATATATACAAAAGAAGAGTGGCGGAGAGCCGCATTGACTGCGGAGCATAACAAAGCATTTGCCTTGAGTAGGTTGTGACACATGTGGTCCGTGCTAAGATGTTCAGGCCTTTTACTCGGCCGTAAGCACTACCTTCACTGTCTCCACGCTTTGTGCGGCTTTATCTACTTCAACTAGTCCGAGTGGAAGCATAGGATGATGTAGTGTAACTTGATCTTGCTGTTTCGCTCCACTTTACGCGGTAGAGATTTTGAAGTGGTTCAGCACGCGACGAGACGAGATCAACACTTATGACGCGTTTATGGTTAGTGCACGGGGTCCTGTTAGCCTTTGCCCTTGCTGTTTCTCTTCCTTCCACTCCAACAATCATCTCACCACACAGAGTGGCAGCATCTACATAGTATGAGCTAGGAAGCTGCCGTATTCCCTCCTCGATACCATATCCACAGTCTCCCTATAGGCAACTCTGCAGAAGATGGAAGTCACTCGCACAGCTTCAACCTCCCAAAAGCTGTCTGCTCCCCCGCCCCATCATCCATCAGAACAGTCAATACGAGCACCACCCTCAAAAAGACCCAGATCAGACATCATCGCTCCTTCCTCTCCCTCCAAATCCCGCATTCTTCGCCCTGAGGAACGCTCCCGACTAGCCAGCCACGCAGAACAACCCCGACTCCAAGCTAACCTTCTCTCTTACGCCGAAGCTCGAGCGAGAGCTTCTTCTACCTATGCTCTTTCCCCACCTGCACCAGCAACGTTGCGGTCCGATGGCGAGAATGCCGACTTTCGGTATCCCCCAGACTGTACCGGCGGCTCTAGCGGTAGCGCACGAGGGTTACTTGAACAAATTAAGAACAGAATGGATCAACGTGCACCGGCCAAGTCAAGTAACTTTTTGCAAAAGGCGAAACAGGTTCAGCAGTCACTGTTGGAGAAGCAGCAGCATGCCGCTGAGATGCAAAGGCTTCGAGACGAAGCAGCACGTAGGGAAAGCTTCAGGAGTGGCGGGTTTGGAGATGAACATGCTGCCCCCTCAAGTGCTTCTCAGAGCGCTCCAGCAGAGGCAGGGGGGTCGGCTTTCGCTCGAGCCAACAAGCGACCCTCCCCAACATCCGACGAACACGACCCCTCCGACGATGCCGCTTCCGACACCGACCTCGCCGATGATGCTGTGCAGAGAGACGAAGATCTCACTCTAATCGAATCCCTCCGACCTGGTCCTCGTGCTATTCCGACCAACCCTGACGATCCGAAATGGGAGAAATTCGAACCCTTCTCCGGCCACCGACTTCACGAACGTAAACTGCCGCATAGTCAACTCAAGGAACATCTTCGTGGTCGATACCACATCCCTCCTTCGCTGCTGTATTCCATCGCGCGACCGATCACAGCTCCGTTCATGGCGGACGGAAGGAAGTTTGATTGGAAAGCTGCTACGCGGAACGGCGATTACGAGGTGCCAGTTGACGGGGACTGGATCGTTATTGCTACCATCGTGGAGAAGAGCGAGTTACTGGTGACGAAAGGGTTCGAGAATGATAGTGTGCCTAGTGGAGGAAAGCAGAGACAGGCGGAGGCGGGGGAGGAGGACGATGACCCAGTCCTATTCAAAGATGCTGGTGGATCTAGTGATAAGCTTCGATTAGATCTCGAACCGGGTAATTCCGATGCTTTTCAACTATCTTCCAACTCGAAACCATGGCAGAAACGTCGCAATGGAGAGCCGGGAGAGAGGAGCGATGACGAATCCGAGCGTAAACGACAAGAACGCCGCCTATCTAACCGCCCCCGCAAATTCATCGTTCTTAAACTAGTTGATCTCGACATCAACTCCCTCTCCACCGACGGTCAGGGCAGTGCAGGTAGAGGAGACAACTATCTCTCCCTCGTCGCCTACGAATCGGATCAGATCGACACTTCCGTTCTTATCCAACATAAAACTTCCATCCGAAGTGAAGTTTCCGCCGTCCTCTCCTCCTCTACTAAGAAATGGGTCAATGGTTCAAAAGGAGCATTCGAACTGTTGTATCAACAATCAGAAGGAACTTTGGTTGCGATTATGAACCCGAAAGTTCTCCGACCTTTCACTTCGGGGGGTGGTAGGGAGAGTAAGATGCTACGCATTACCCCCCGATCAGTGGAAGACTGTCTGGTGATTGGACAAGCAGCAGATTACAAGCGGTGTACAGCGATTAAAGCGAATGGGGAGAGGTGCAAGAGTTTTGTGGATGTCAAGGCGAGAAAGCAAACCCGCACGACGACTTGTGATTTTCATCTGAGTAAACATATGGATGATCTTGGGAGGGGCAGGCCGGAGTTTGCAACTAATAGCACTACTCGTCTTAACGCTCCCTCCAAAGCTGGTGCTGGTGGAGGTGGAGGGGGTGGTAGGTCTGGGTTTGGCTCTTCCACCCGCCACCGTAGGGGGGCAGAAGGCGAAGAAGGATCGGCAATAAACAACATCACCACCATTTACAAAAGCTCAGGAAGTAACGCCTTCTCCCGTGCAGCATTGGCCAAGAAACTCAACTCTTCTCATGGCAACGTTGGTGATGGGATGGAGAATAACTCTGGTGGTGTGTTCGTTTCTCAATCTCCCCTCATTGCCGATCCGAACTTGCCGGAGGAGGTGAGAGCTTCGGATCCGTCGAGTTGGAAGTACGATGTCAGCGGGAGATACGGAAGAGGGATCACTGAGAAACAGTCCCGGTTAAAGAGACAGATTGAGGAAGAACAGTTGATGAGGCAGATAGAAAAACGGTTTGTTCCCGCGGAGGAGAAGAAACAGAAACAAAAGGAGGAGGAGGGGGAGAGGAAGAAGCATTCCGGCTCAAAGGAGGGAGGAAAGGATGGGAAGGAGGAGGGAGAAGTAGTGCTTCCGGTCCTACCGAATGGAGTAGCGGAGATGATCAATGCTGCGTACTCGACTTTGAATCAACGGAAGAGAATGGCGCAGGAAAAGAGAGATAACGATTTAGCTAAGCGGCGCAAATACACCGGGGTTGTTGTACCTTCAACCACCACAACCAGCGATACGACGGGGGGCAAGCTGAAGTTCAAAACTCCAGTCAACTCCAGCAGTTCCACTACTGGGTCTCGCGGGCTAAGTATTGTGGGATGGCTGCCGGTTGCTGGGTTGACAAGGCACAATTCTACGTCCTCTGCTGGATCGCAAAAGGAGCAAGGTCCTGATTCAAGGAGCAAATTGCTCTCCCTAGCCACCTCAGGTACAGCAAAAAAGGAGCCCAACTTGAAGATCAAGAGAGCCCACAGACCCAAAATGAGGTTACCAGCGGAAGAGGTCGGCAGGATACCACAATTCAGTGTTGTCGGCGGGGAGTTGGTAGATTTGGCTGATTTTGACGATGATGAATGGGATGACGATTTGGATGATGTTCGAGGGCGAGATGCTGAGGAAGAGGGGAAAGGGTTGGGTGAAAAATTGTTGGAACTCTCTTCTCAATCACAGACACGCGAAAGGATCGATCATCAAACTGCTGCTGGTGACGATAGCGATTCGGATCTTGAGATCATCTGATCTTCCATGCCCCTTCAATCTTGCACAACCACATCACCAAGCAATCACACAAAAACACTTCCTCAGAAGATGTCACAAAGCCATAGCAAAAGAGTTGTAGGGTGATGAATTGATGATAGATCTAAAACTAGCGTACAGGAGGAGAATTTTAAAATTTTGTTCTCTGTCAGAAGTCTGCTGAGGGAAATGATCCAATGTGATGATGCAAGCTGACATAAGCCAATATGGGAGGGATCGGGGGAAACCAATCTGACTGAAGATGGAGCAAGGGCCGATCCAATCAGAAATCGGGTACAATGCAGTCCCACACGTTGTCAAGCTAGGTCATGAAGTAGGATGCTCCCACACTTGGTATGAGCCTCATAGATGTATATACAGCTTGCACATAAACTGTCCCACAATTTTAGATGTCACCACACATCACTCCAATGCTCAACAACCAATGTATCAAACCTATGCTTGACCTACACCATTGGAAAGCTCTGCTTCTTCTATACAAGACTGTGTAATTGATATTAACATTGCATAAGAAAATTGTGCATCAAAAAAAAAGTCAAGAATAATTTTATTGTGGGACAGTATATGGAGCCCTCCTCCACAACACCTTAGTACTTTGTATTCCCTCCTTTTGCCTTTAGAACTGTCTTGATGCAGTGTGGCATACTCTCTATTAGGTTCCTACATGTCTCTGGAGTGATTGCTGTCCATTCAGCTTCACATCTCTTGAGCAGTTCATCCCTGGACTTTGCAATTGTACTATACTGTGAAAGTTGCATTTTGAGATGGTGCCAGAGGTGTTTGATCAGGTTTAAGTCAGGGGACTGTGCTGGCCATTCCACAACCTTGATGTTATTGCTTGTCAACCACTTTGTAGTCTTCTTGGATGTGTGTTTAGCATCATTGTCTTGCTGAAAAACAATATCAGTATATCCATGCTGAAGGTGCAAATCCAAGATTGTTTTGACAAGCTTGTCATTCAGGATTTTGATGTACTGGTCTGAATCCATTATACCCAGCACCAAGTGCATACCTCCCACCCCTTCCCATGCCATACAGCCCCCAATCATGATGGAGCTGCTGCCAAACTTGACTTTTGGCCTGACAAGCTTACTGTTGAAGCCAGTGTTCTTAACCCAACAGAACTGCTTACCATCTGGTCCAAAAAAGTTGATCTTTGTCTCATCCAACCATCCAACCTTTTTCCAATCCTCAACAATCATATCCTTGTGCTCATTGGCAAATTTATGATGGGCTATGTAGTGGCTTTTGAGTAACTTGGGTTTTTTCACCAACCTCCTTGATTTGTAGCAACAATATTGAAGTGCTTTTCTTACTGTGGTTGGGCAAGCTTTGATTTGGAATGTCTCCTGTAGTGCTTGACATGCTTTACTGACAGTGGAGGTGGAATTGAGCTCAAAATAGTGGTCCAGGAAGCAAACATGACAGGGCTGGAGTAATTTTGGGTGGCCCCCCTTTGACTTTGGTACATCAGTTGAGTGTCAGGGGTCTCGCGCCTGAAACCCAGGTCGGTCTGTCGAGATACTTGGTGACTATCAAACTGTGTGACAGCTATTGTCTCGGTATCGGTGACTATCAAGTTGCGCAGTGACAGCAGGTGGCGTTCGTTGTATATACTATCATAGGTTTTGGCTGACCTCTGTGGACACTCCATTCAGGGGTAGCTCGGCACGATCAATATCAATGCTATGATGACACCAAGGTCTGGTGTGAGTGCTGATGATGACGAGGTTGATGACGTTGGTGATAAGGTTGGTGGGTGTTGATGATAATGAGGTTGATGGTGTTGGTGATAAGGTTGGTGGTGTCAACACAAGTGTCCAGTGTGTTGACTTGATGCTTGAAGTGATCCCCAGACTGCAGTGGACTACTGCCTTCGGTTCTATCTTGATCTGGACTGCTAACCTGCCATGGGCGCCTTCAGATGTCAGGTAGTGGTGATACAACACACACACTACGATGAGGAGCAACCTTGATAGATTGCTGCTATGCTGACTGAAACTAATATATACTTATGCTGAAGTGATAACTAGTTATGGTGAGTAGAGTGGATGAGGATCCACTCAACCTATGATGATGAGAAAGCATGGTTATATACCTCTTCACAGGATCGCCAGCGATGCTGCTCCTGCTCTCTCTCCAGAGAGTACCTTCTTCATCGAGTACTGCTCAGGGGCCTCTCCTGCTTGGCACCCCTGTGTCTCTTGAGTGGTGTTGACTCCTTCGACACTGCTCCTCCTCCTCATGACCTGGTGTCGACTCCTTCGACACTGCTCCTCTTCCTCAGGACCTGCTTGCCAGTGTCCTATGACTCTTGTCTCTCGAGCCCCTGAGTGGTAACCATTTGAGCTTGGTCCTCTTCGTGGCTGTGCCTGCTCCTTGAGCTTGGTCCTCCTCGTGGCTGTGCCTGGCCCTCCTCGCATGTGGCTCGGTTCTCCTTTGCATGTGAGTCCATAGGAGTCCATGGTCTCCATGGAGACTGCACTACGACCATGCTCTCTACTGGTATCGACTAGGTCTTTGATACCTGTGCTCCTTCCATATGAACCAGTGACCCTCCTGCTTCTTGAGCATCCAGGCCCATGACATTGAGGCACTTTTTGTCAAAGGTCTCATGCCCGAAACCTGATATCTGTAATAGAAACACTTCTGTTACAGATCCTGTTGAGATATGTGGTAGAGTGCTGTGTATTATTATTCTTGTTGAGATATGTCATAGAAAAGCCTCTATGACTTTTCTTGCTCAAAGATGTAGTAGTGTGTTTGCTATTGCAGGTTTCAACTAACTGCTGTGGACACTCTGTCCAGAGGTAGCTTGGCACAATCAATAACTTATATGAACTTTGTACTGACACCAAGGCCTGGTGTGAGTATGATTAATGGTGGCACCAACATGAGTGTTCAGTGTGTCAACTGAGTGCTTGAGGTGATCCCTGGACCACAGTGGATGACTGCCTTTGGTTCTATGATTGTGAGCCAGACTGCAGGTTACTAGGAACTGCCTTTGGTGTCGATTGTTATCCAGACCACAGGTTTCTATGAACCACCTTTGGATGTCAGTGAGCAGTGATACAACACATGCACTACAATGGAAGCAATCTATTATGATTGCAACTTGCTGACTGAAACTAAGTATACTTATGCTGAAGTGGTAACTAGTTACATATGGTGTAGAGTGGATGGCAATCCACTCACTCATTATGATGGGGAACATGGTTATATACCTTTCTTGCAGCATTGCCCATGACACTGCTCCTCCTCTTTGTCCCTCCTATCCTCCCCATCCACCTTGTGATGCCACTCATTGGCACCACTTCCTTGTCTCCTGTGGATGGATGGGCCTCTTGCTGCCTCATCTCTGTCAGGGGCCAGTCCCACTTCATCTGAGTGGTGACTCACACCCTTTCATCACCCTCCTGTTGTTGGCACCCACCTGCTGGCACTGACTTCATTGTTGTGCAAGGCCCCTACTTCTTCCAGTGGTGTCCTCTCCCTTGTTTGGTATCCTCCTCTCATCATATCAGTGATAGGGGTGCCTCTCAAACTGATTCTTGTGAGGTCTGTTGTACTTAGCATGGTATTACAATTCCCACTGAACTCTGTAGTAATGACCTTGTTCCTACTGATCCTGACAAGTTATGCCATAGAGTTGTTTCTACTACAGATCTCAGTGGACTCTGCCTTAAGCTCTTGCTTAGCCCAATTCCACGATTTCTGCACTCCTCTTCATATGACTTCAACCCTTCTTGCCCCTTGCGCATCTGGTCCCATGACATTACCCCCCTTGTAAGAGCCAAGCTCCATTGAGGCAAAGTCTTGTGCTCAGAATGTTCTCTTCCATCATCCTCTTCCTTTGTCACCATCAACCCATTCCTCTATGGTCAGATACATCATGCTGTATCAACTTCGCTCTCGATCTGCGCCTGGCACACCACTTCCTGAAAGCGATCCTTCGATTCTGAAGCGTCGTAAGATCGTTCTTCGGTTGAAGCCTCATGAGGTGCCAGATGAGGTTAGGGAAGCTTTGGAGCCTCCCTCGGCTCCTGCTCCACTCGAGCCCCTCTTCCTGGGCATGGACGATGATTATGGGGTTGATTCTCCTAGCCCCACTGTCCCTTCTCCTTATCCTCCCCATCCACCTTGTGATGCCACTCATTGGCACCACTTCCTTGTCTCCTGTGGATGGATGGGCCTCTTGCTGCCTCATCTCTGTCAGGGGCCAGTCCCACTTCATCTGAGTGGTGACTCACACCCTTTCATCACCCTCCTGTTGTTGGCACCCACCTGCTGGCACTGACTTCATTGTTGTGCAAGGCCCCTACTTCTTCCAGTGGTGTCCTCTCCCTTGTTTGGTATCCTCCTCTCATCATATCAGTGATAGGGGTGCCTCTCAAACTGATTCTTGTGAGGTCTGTTGTACTTAGCATGGTATTACAATTCCCACTGAACTCTGTAGTAATGACCTTGTTCCTACTGATCCTGACAAGTTATGCCATAGAGTTGTTTCTACTACAGATCTCAGTGGACTCTGCCTTAAGCTCTTGCTTAGCCCAATTCCACGATTTCTGCACTCCTCTTCATATGACTTCAACCCTTCTTGCCCCTTGCGCATCTGGTCCCATGACATTACCCCCCTTGTAAGAGCCAAGCTCCATTGAGGCAAAGTCTTGTGCTCAGAATGTTCTCTTCCATCATCCTCTTCCTTTGTCACCATCAACCCATTCCTCTATGGTCAGATAGATCATGCTGTATCAACTTCGCTCTCGATCTGCACCTGGCACACCACTTCCTGAAAGCGATCCTTCGATTCTGAAGTGTCGTAAGATCGTTCTTCGGTTGAAGCCTCATGAGGTGCCAGATGAGGTTAGGGAAGCTTTGGAGCCTCCCTCGGCTCCTGCTCCGCTCGAGCCCCTCTTCCTGGGCATGGACGATGATTATGGGGTTGATTCTCCTAGCCCCACTGTCCCTTCTCCTTTGGCGCGCGAGGAGGTGCCTGTTTCTCGACAGGTTCTTCCTCCTGCTTCTGCGCCAATCGACCTGTATGATGTCAATGTGTGACAAGTTCCTCAGGAACCTACCACTCCTGAGTGCCAGGCTGCCTGGGAGGCCAAATTGGCTAGGTCCCCTACTCCTCCCCTGACCACCAACAAAGTCATTGACTCTGCCCTGGCTTCTACTCAGGCCGTCACCCCAGAATATCGTCTGGAGGTGCAGCCCCTCACACCTCCTCCTTGGTGGATCAGTTGTCAGACTCCACCACCCCCTCCTCCTGATCACCATCTCCCTATGAACAGTGAGATCACTGGTTGGGCTGAGCGATTTGTGGCTGCAGATCTTGTGGTGTGGATTGCCAATCGTCACTTCCTGCTTCTTGGGATGTGCCGATTGGTTCTTTGCCCAAGTGTCATTTGCAGCACCTGGCCATGCTACGCCTGACTGAAGGCTGCATGCCTTGGCCTAGCTGGCAGTGCTGCCGATGCTTTACCCTAAGAGTTCTGTAAGTACCTCCTCCTTGTCCAACTCTTTTTTTGACTGTTCCTGACCTCTTCTTCTATTCTCATAGTTGTTTTGCCTCTGCTTTCACCAACCCTTTTGGTGAGTGGAACAGGATTCCCCAGGTGTGTTGTCATTGCTACCTGGCTGGGTTGGGTTGTTGTGAGCACAACATCCCTGCTCATCCAGGTATGGAGTACCCTGGTGATGGAACACCCAGTTTGCAGCCTTGAGGCTCTCATCAGGCTGAGCAGGCTCACTTGATGGTTGCAGACAGGGATGGTCCAGGTTTTGTGTGGTCAGAGGAACATGTGGTGGACCTGGTCATGACTCATGGTTGGACCACTGCCATGTGAGTCATGTGGCACCTGCCTAACCCCAACTTGGTGAGTTCCCTTTTGCATGCCTTCCAAGACTTTGTGGTGCCCCACAACCGTCTGTACTCCGAGCGCCAGCCGCATGAGTCAGTGATGGTGTCTGGAGGTCCCCCAGATCCCCTCTCCCGTTGGGTGGACCCCACTGATGAAAAGAGGGTGGTTCGATCGGCCCTTACCACTCCTCATGTACCCTCAGACTATGTCGATGTATAGTGACATGGTCTGTCATGCAATAACAATGAGTCCTGGTTCCTATCGAGTCTGTGGCCTGACTCCGGTGTCATTGCTTGTGAGCCTGATCGTTGAGTACCAGTCCTCTGAGTCGCTCTGTGTGAGGGGGGTTGTATCGTTGGACCCCCTCGTGAGATCTGTCATTCGTCCCATTCTACTACTGATTCTCGTGTGATCTGTAGTTACGCGTCCCGCCTAGACTCAACCGCACGAGAGACTGAAAATTGACTAAAATAATGTGGAGATAAACTGTGTGGATTGCAG